TCATTCTAGACAGGGGACCACTCTCACGTGTAGTCGAGTCAGCACGCGTGTTTGCCGAAGAATGTTCAGCACAAGTCTTTTGCAGTGTTCATACCTTGGTTTCCCGCGGGGGAGGAGGCGAAGGACTGTGCTTGACACATCTGCAGAATCATCATCGTAAGTTATCTGAAGATGTCGACCTTCAATATCCAAACCGGCTCCCCATGCCAAAATTAAAACAGATTATATGTCGCCGCCTCCTCAATCTCCCAACGGACGTGGAGGCGAACACGTGCGCTCCGCTTGTCTAAGGATTTATCAGCATAAGCCCCACTCCAATATCGAGCTTTCAATGTTTCAACGTTCTAGGACATGCAATATCAAGTTTTCAACGTTATCTTGCAATCTTTAAGATACGCATCTTGCAACGGATGATGAGGCGAAGGTTTGCGCCTCACCTGTTTGGGGGGTATGCAACAGTCCGTTGCAATCTTCAATCTTCAATCTTCCCACGGAATTGCCCAGGAACTTCAGGGGCCCTCCTGGGCCATGTTGGGAGGCATCGTCGAACATGAAGTTGGCCCGAGCCCATGTCCTTTCTTTCCCGCACAGCAGGTCAACGCAGTTCTGAGCAATGCATGGCGATGCAATGCAACGCATTGCGCTGTATTGCTTGGCGTGACGTGGCATTGCATTGGCTTGGCATTGCTAGGCATTGCTCGGCGTTATTTGGCGTGGTTTCGCTTTGCTTGGTGTTGCCACGCATTGATTTCTTGGTACTGCCTGGCATTGCTTGGCGTTGCTCGGCATTGCTTTACTTTGCGTGGCATTGCTTGGCACTTCTTGGTATTGTCTGGCACTTCTTGGCGTTGCTCGGCAGTGCTGCGCACTGCTTGGCATTGCAACGACTGGGGAACCCAAGGAACGAGCGGAGAACCCGAGGAACGAGACCGGGTAATTCGAGACCAAGGCAAGAGACCAGGGAACAGAGGCAGGATTTTGGGGAACCTAAGGGACAATGCCGGGGAACTTGGGCAACGCCTGATGGAGACCAAGACGAGGGAACCAAGCAACGCCGGCTGGGCCGCCTCTGAACTGGGACCCTGCACCCAACGGCTCTCGAACAAAACCAATCAGAGCCATTTCTAGGCAGAGAGGCGAAACAGACGGCAGTTTATTTGCGCCACTTCTGGAGCCCAGAAGAAACCATGCCTGAGTCCCTTCAAACTTTCTCGTGGGGTGCTCTTGCGAGTGGACGACCATGCAACCACAGCGTTGCGAGACAGACCTGAACACTGTGATTCAAAACGACCTGGGAATCATGAACGAATCAGCGATAATACTAAGCAGCGAATGGCGGAGAAGACCTGCAAGAACATGCAAAATATCATTAACAACACACACTCTGCTTTAAGGCGAAAGTTGCAAACTACAAAGCAGCACACCCAGAGCATGTTCGACAACAATTCAGCACATATTTTTATCGGAGGTGAGGGGTGAGATCGCAGTGAAACGGAGAGCCCCCCCCCACCAGGAAATCGGTTTCGGTTTCGTGTTCGTGTTCGTGTCGTGCGTGCGGGTGAGGCGAAGCTGCGTGGGCGGGCGAGAGGAATGAACCCTCCTCTGGCTACAGCGGCGGAACAACAGTTCGTCTGAAATTTCAAGGGGCCGCGCATTTGCCAAAAGTGCATCGGCCCCCCATTCCCCCATCGAATCCTATCAAGAAGAGCGGTTTCGGGCCCCTTCAATCGGCGGGATGCTTAGACCCTGGGGTCCTGGCCCTTCCAATAATTATAACTTAGATCGGGGACGGAAGTTGTTAAATTATGTTTTTTTTATTGAACACGTAATGATTGCAGAGTCTCCCAGATCCCAGCCTCAATTGTCCCATTGGTTCTTGCCATTCGGATCAATTATCCTGGGCCTGCTGGGTTGGCCGACGGTGGCGAGGGGTGTCCCGCCGTGGTGTCCCGATGGTGTCCCGTGGTGTCCCGTGGTGTCCCGTGGCGCGGCGTCCCATGATGTCCCGTGAGATCGAAAGTGAGATCGATAGTGAGATCGATAGTGAGATCAATCGTGGGACCGATTGTGAGATCGATTGCGGGATGGATGGTCAGATTGATAGTGGGATCGATCGTAAGATCGATAGTGAATTCAATTGCAAGATCGATGGCGAGATCGATAGTGTGATCGATCGTGAGATCGATGGTGGGATCGATAGTGAGATCGATATTGAGATCGATTGTGCGATCGATAGTGAGACTCACAGAGAGACCAGTAGTGAGATCGATAGTGAGATCGTTAATGAGATCGATAGTGAGATCGTTAGTGGGATCAATATTGAGTTCGATAGTGGGATCGATCGTGGGATCGATAGTGAAATCGATAGTGAGATCGATAGTGAGATCGATTGTGAGGTCGATTGTGAGATCGTTAGTGAGATCGATAGTGAGAGGGACTGTCAGATTGACAGTGATTTCAATAGTGAGAAAGATGGTGGGATCGATATTAAGATCGATAGTGAGCTCGATAGTGAGATCGATTGTGAGATCGATTGAGTGAGACGGTTGTTCCTCCCCCATCCCCGACCGTCCTTATCACCCGAAGGCTGGTCGTCTAGGTATACATGGTATATTGTTGTCGTTATCGGAGCTTTGGGGGTTAGAGCGCAGTGAAGCAGAGAGCCCCCGACTGGGAAATTGGTGCCGTTTATGTGTCGCGCCTGCAGGCGAGGCAAGGCTACGCGGTCGGGCGAAAGGAATAATCCCGCCCTGGCTAGAGCGAAACCGGGCTCAATGTCTCTCCTCCCCCCCCCTGTTTGGCCGGCCGTGGCCCGGGGGTGTCCCGCCAGGGTCCCGTGGTGCTCCGTGATGTCCCGTGTTGTCCCGTGGCGCGGTGTCCCGTTGTGTCCCGTTGAGGTCGATGTTGAGATCGATTGCGTGAGATCGATCGTGAGATCGGTAGTGAGATCGATCACGATATCAATAGTGAGATCGATACACAGATTGATCGTGAGACTGGCAGTGAGATCCATAGTGACGTCGATTGTGAGCCCGATCGATAAATGGAGATCGAAAGTTAGGTCGATAGGTAGATGGAGAGTGAGATCGCTAGTGACGTCGATAGTGGGATCAATTGGTCGCGAGGTCGTGAGATAGTGACATCGAGTATGGGATGGGTGGTGAAAGCGATTGATAGTGAGACTGCGCCACAGGGACGCTCGCCGCTGTGCGAAACTGCCTCGGACCATCTGGCGTGCCACAGGGGTCGCGGGCAAATAAGTGCCACCTCCTGCAATCGAGGTGGCATGGATTTGCCTGTGACTGCGGTGGTCGCAATCACCAGTGTGAGTGCGCCATCGCGGGTGTGTCGTGCCGCTATCCAGGCTCTGTCAGCCAAAGTTGTTTCATGCACTGCTATTTTTGCGCGCTGCCCGCTTGCAATGCCCTGCTTATCGCCAGTATCGCCGCCACGCATCGCCACTACCACATGCATTGTCACTAGCATCGCCATCACGCATCGTCACAAGAATTGACGTCGTGCGTTGTCGCCAACTCGTCGTCACTAGCGTCGTCACCATCACAGTCACTTTCAGTTGTCATCAGTTGGTCCTCCGCCCCTCGCGACCTCCGTATCACCCGACGGGTGGTCGCATGGAAACATTCACTTGCACGATTTGGGATTCGTCTCTGGAGAGCGCTTGCCCTGCTAGCTGCTTCGTATTCTCGGCATGGGTTGCATGCCGTGGAACGAACAGGGGCGCGCCCTGCTTGCTGGGTGGTCTGGGAGGATGAAGTGGGTTCCAAGCTGCGCAAGAACTCCCAGGCGCTTTGACCAACCTGTTGGGCGCGGAAGGGAAAGACTGGCGATGCCCGCTCGGAGACTTTGGGCCCCTCGGAGACTTTGGGCCCCTTTTGCTCCCGCACCCCGCCGAGGCATTGCCTCCCGCCCAGTCTGCCCGTGCTGGGCCACAGGGACCGCGGAGACGACAAGCTGCTGGGCTGCCACGGTGCCCTGGAGGTGAACCCAGCACCGACCGATGGCACTGACGCGGCGGCGGCAGCGTGCTGGGCGAGTCCGGCGCGTGGGCTCCAGAGATATCCTGGAAGTCGACCTTCAGCACAGTTCAGCACGGCGAGCCCGGGGGAGGGAAACGGGGCGGGCCTTCTCGGAAGGCTCGGAGTTCCCCCGGCCTTCTGAACAGCTTTCTGAGCCTTCCCCGAAGGCGCAGAACGCTTCTCAGAAGACACGGTGGGGGGCGTCTGTCTGAGGAGCCCCCCGCTGCCTCCGAGAGGGCCTCATCACTCCACGCGCCACTGCTCGCCGCGGACGGGTCTCCTGGGAGTTGGCCTTCCGCGCACGTCCAGCCCGAAGAGCAGGAGCGGAGACGGCAACAGCGCCGCGAGACAGCGGGGAGAGCAGCCTCCGGGCCAGGGGCGGGCCGTCCCAGCAGCCCCGGCAGCGCCTTCGCTCCCTCCCTCGCGCTCCTTCTGCTCCCGCCGGGGTGGCCGTGCTGGCACGCGGGACCGGCAGCTGCCCCGGGGCAGCGATCGGCTGAGATGGGCACAGGGGGGTGTCTTTTGGCGCTTCTCGGCGGTCTGCTGGCTCGGCACAGTTTCGGCGGTCTCTTCAGGTTTCTGGATGCTTCCCAGCAGCTGCTCTGACTGGGGGGGGCCAGAATTGTCCCGAACGGCCGCCTAAGAGCTGAGTTGCAGCCCGAAAACCTCTGGGCACGGGGATGGGCTCGGGGGGGTGCATCGACCCCCATTCGCCCATCGATCGCCGATAGGGGTCCGATAGCCCCAACCTGCCCAGGAGCGGCCCAGGAGCGCTCGGACCCACTATCGGGGGCCTATCGCCGATCTATCGGCGATGTATCGCCGATTCCAGGTCGATGTGCCCCCCCCTATGCCAGTCCCTCTCTATTGTTGCCCCTCAGCTGCACGAGGGGAGGAAGAGGAACGGAGGGAGCCTGCTCGGCCCACGCCCTCAGCACCCGATCTGCGCGCGCGGCCGCGCAGGCTACGTTCTCGATGACGATCTCATCAGCGCCAAGGAAACGTTCGATGAAGGTGGCGGGGGGGAGGTTGCCATGAAGGATAGGGCTCCAGAGGGAAACGGGTCCCGGAGGCCTTTCCCCATTCTCGGCTTCCTGGGGCACAACCCAGGGCCCCAGCACCGTCGAAAAGTCGTTCAGGAAGGACAAGAATGTCCCGGGGAAAGCCCCTGGAGTCCAGTACACGTGTCCCCAAGGACCCGCTCGTCTCCCACCAAGGGGGGAAGCGAGCAGACGGTCGACGCGAGCAGCGGGATCTCAGATTGAAACGTCCAGTTCCGAGTATTCTGCCAGAGCATCGGGGGCGGCCAAGAGAGGGGTGATGACAAAAGGGGGGAGATATCATGGCGGGTGCCATGATATCTCCCCAGATTTCACGGCGCCTCTTCTTCTTTCATTACGTCCCCAGACCCCCCCCAGGGTCGCGCACATGCCGCTGGCCATGATATGCGCCCCCCCCTCTTGGGAGCCCCCTTTTGGCCGCCCCCGAGAGCGTGCCAACGCGTTCCAACGCCACGAACAAGACAGGTATCGCGCAAGATCAGAGCCTGAGTTGTCGACCACATCCTTCTGAGGCGTTTTTTTCCGAGAGGGATCGATTTGTGAGGGCCCCTCGTCCCGACAGCGGTTTTTTGACGCCAGGAGTGAAACATTTTCCCCAGCAAAGTACCCTGACAGCAGCAAAGGATGAGAGGCGGGCCGACAAGTAGGACGTCGAGACACGGCCATGTGCACCTTGCTGTGCGAAAATTGCTGCTGGGCCAGGCGGTCTAGGGCTCCCCGTTTCTCCTGTGGGACTCCTCTGTGGTCCTTTCTAGCACCATTCGAGCCACAACAGTGAGACTCTGCAGATTTGAAGCTTGCCAGCCTGGAACATATCCCTATCCCTATGATGAGCATCGCCTCATCTCGATGCCGATCTTACAGGAATTACCTCAGTTTCTGGGGACGCATCCCTAAGACTGTCGTCGCCATTTGGCGAGTCAATCTCAGGAAGGGATAAGTTCAGGGCTGAAGCGCCAGGGTCTCAGGGAAGGCCGATCGACCAGGAACCAATCGACACCACCCCACCTGCGACCCGCCAGGTCGTCGGTGGGTCGCAGGTGGGGTGGTGTCTTAGATGGGTTGTAGGTGGTCGTAGTTTTGGTTAAGTGCCTCAACTTTCAATATCGCTGGGCCGTAGGTGTGGTAGTGTCGTGTGGTTCGGGCCGAACGAAAGGGGGGGATAGGGAAAGGGGGGGTTGCGAAATCTGCTGCATGCGGCTGGTTTCGGCCCCGCCGCCGGGCCCACATTCCGCGATACACGGGCGCCTCCCGGCGCCGGGAGGCGCTGTGTAAATCAGCTACGGCAGGTTCGCGTCGTGTCGACCGGCGGCGACCCCGACGCCGGCGTTCAACGTTGAACGCCTGCGGCGGCCCAGAATCAGTCGATGTTGAACGATCGGACGTGGCGGAACGGGCCGATCGTTCGAGGCTGAACGATCCCCGCGGTGTCAGGAACCAACGCCTGGGTCGTCGCGACACGAACCTTTCGCACGTGAGCTGATTCTCTACCCTACCCGTTTCAGGAGGGAAAAAAAAACACAGACACAATTAATCGTCGATCCCCCAGAAAATATGGGAATATATGGGAAGTGGTGGGGAAGACAAAAACCGAGAAAATATAGGAAAATATGGAGACTATCTTTATTTGTGTGTATTTATTTGTGTGTCCTTGGGCCCCTTGACCGTTGCTATCCCCCCCTTCCATTCCCCCCGAGCGGTTCCTGGCCCAGCCGAGGCGCCCGCGCGCAGCCTCTTCGGGACCTCGCCGCGCCGAGCCGTCGGCGGGGCGCGGCCCCCCCCCACCCCACCTCCCCGGCCCCGCCTCTTCGGTGTTCGGGTCCTCCTCCTCCTCCCCCTCCTCTGCTCCTCCTCCTCCTCCTCCTCCTCCTCCTCCTCCTCCTCCTCCTCCTCCTCCCCCTCCTCTTCCCTCCTCCTCCCCTTCTCTCCTCCTGCTCCTCCTCCCTCCCCCTCCTCCCTCCTCCCTCCTCCCCCTCCCCCTCCTCCCTCTCCCCGTCCCCCTCCTCCTCCTCCTCCCCCTTCTCCTCCTGCTCCTCCTCCCTCCCCCTCCTCCCTCCTCCCTCCTCCCCCTCCCCCTCCTCCCTCTCCCCGTCCCCCTCCTCCTCCTCCTCCTCCTCCTCCTCCTCCCCTCCTCCTCCTCCTCCTCTCCTCCTCCTCCTCCTTTTCTCTCTTCATCCTCCTCCTCCTCATCCTGCCTTCTCCCCCTCTCCTCCTCCTCCTCCTCCTCCTCCTCCTCCTCCTCCTTCTCCTCCTCCTCCTCCTTCTCCTCCTCCTCCTCCTACTCCTTCCTCCTTCCCCCCCCCCCTCCTCCTCCTCCTCCTCCTCCTCCTTCTCCTCCTCCTTCTTCTCCTTCCCCTTCCTCCTCCTCCTCCTCCTTCTCCTCCTCCTTCTTCTCCTTCCCCTTCCTCCTCCTCCTCCTCCTTCTCCTCCTCCGCCTCCTTCTTCTCCTCCTTCTCCTCCTCCTCCTCCTCCTGCCTCGGTGAGTTCTTTTGAAAAAGAACCAAATCCAAGCTGTAGGAAGTCCAGCACGCCGTGCACCCTGTGATGAATCAACAGGGGGCGGTGGATCGAAGACGCCTACGGCGAATCACCGCCGCCCCCTGCCTTTTTAGAAGCGCCTATGTGGCCGAACGTTGAGGCCAGACCTGCCAGGCTATCGGACCATGTGTTCCCCGAATCGGTTTGGAAAGCCTCTGGGGAACACGTGGGCATCTTGAAGGTCATCTTGGCCGTGTGGAGGCCATTCTAACCTTTCGAGCCTTCTTGGAGGACGTCTTGGAGGGCTCTTGGGCCGTCTTGGAGGCCATCTTGAGCGTGGAGGCCTCTTGGGCCGTCTTGGGGGCCTCTTAGGCCGTCTTGGGGGCCTATTGGGCGATATTGGGAGCATTTTGGCCGTCTCGGGCCGTCGGAAGGCCGAACAACAGCAGCAAATGCCACAATCCTTCAAAAACTCATGGGAAATCAATGAGTTTGGCCTTTTCGGGCCTTCCTGGAGGCCCTCTTGGAGGCCTCTTGGGCCGTCTTGGGCCATCTTAGGGCCATGTTCGGCCGTCTTGGTGGGCTCCTGGTCCGTCTGACGCCGTCGGAAGCCGTTTGGAGGGTCTCTATGGGCCGACTTGGGGCCCTCTTGGAGTGCTCCAGGGCCGTCTTGGAGGCCCATATTGGGCGTCTTCAAGGCCTCCTGGGCCATCTTGGGGGCCTCTTGGGGCCGTCTTGGGGCCTTCTTGGGCCGTTCTGAGGCCATCTTGGAGGCCTCTTGGGCGATCTTTCGGCGATCTTCGGGGGTTCTTGGGCAGTCTCGGGCCGTCGGAAGGCCGAAAAGAAGCAAATGTCAGAATCCTTCAAACACCTAAGGAAAATC